CCCCGGGGACAGGCCCCTCTCGGCCCGTGGGCGGCCGTCGCGCGCGTCTCGGGGCGCTGTTGGTGGGACAACCCTGGCGGGAGACGCCTCGAGGAGCGCGTCCGCTCCGCTCCGCAGCGAGCGGCATGTACCGCGGGGTCGAGATCCCTCTGCGCCTGAGGCAAACACCTGCTTTGAGGGGTATTTGCTAACTGGTTCTGCTAAAAGGGGCTGCGAGCTTTGCCCGAGTAGCTATAACCACCAACCACGTGTACTTGAAATTAAGCAGCTTCTTTTCTCTTGTCTTAGGCCTTCCCTGGAGTATACCACGATGCTAAAATGTTGTTTTTAAGCAATACCAACAAGGTATTGATTAGAGAGTTTTCTGCTGTAGAAGAGCCTGTTAATTCTCCTAAAGCTCATCCATTTGTCTGTGAACCTGAATTTCAAAAAGCAGCATAAACCTGAGTTGGTCTACAAATGCTGATGCTCAAATATTGCTCCTAAAATAGAAAAGTGTCAAGGAGCAGACTAACATAAAGAGAGACTTAGGTGTCTCACTATGCTCTAATGAGCTTCCTGAAGGAGCTGTTCACGTTCCACGTTGGCTTTACTCTAATGCCGTTTAATACTAATGTTGTCAAGCCCTCTGTCATGGTTGAGTTTAAGTGACGTAAACTCATCTATCACGGCAGTGTCTTTGCAAGCAGTTAGTGTAACAACAAAGATCGAATGCAAACAAAATCCCATTTCACAGAGCTATTAGGGTCACAGCAGCTGATCTGTTCCAGTGTTTTTTAATTACTGGGCTGTCTACTGAAGCATGTATGCACTTGTAGCCAGCTTCTGCTATACTTACTCATCTCAACCACAACAAGAAGTGACTTGATTCTCACGCAATGCCCAGTGTCTACTCCTAGAACAGCATACTAAAGACTTGGGTACTACATAGTTCTGTCTTAAGTTTAGCAGGGGCAAGTATACTCAGTGGTGCGAAAGAGTTTATCACTAAAAACAAACAAACAAAAAATCCAAATGAGCTGTTCTGTATAACTGATGAAAAACCATTTCCAAATGATATTTTTCTCTCCCTTAGCAGCCCGCTAGGATGCACACCCACTAATCAGAGCATTTTCTACTTTTCCTCTCATAAAAAGTAGCAGGAGCTACTGTGGAAGTGAAATTATAAGCACCTGATGCGCTAAGCAGAAAAAATAATTTTGGCAGGAAGCCTGAGGAAATATGAGTGCATCATTATGTTATAAAGAGAACAAGTAGAAAGATGTAATATAAACATACTCTGAAGAAAGAAGGGGATGTATTAGTTGAAGAAAATACAGGGCCTGGACTGGAACACAAGTCCTTGCATACTGATCAGTTGCTGTTTAAGGCATACTTCAGTACTGAATAATCCAAGTATATACAAAGGCTGCTGTAAATTACGTATATGTTGAATACATATCTAAATTCAAAGCACAGTCATAGGAAATAAGGCTCAAAAGGACACTGAGAGGTCACATAATCCATTTTTCTGCTCTAGGACAGGATCGGGTCTGCATAAATGACTCCTGACAGGTCCTCGTCTAACTCATTTCTTTAAAACGTCACTGATGAGAATCCATAGCCTCCCCAAATAATTTATTCCAATACTTAGCTCTCTTTGTCATCTGAAAATGGTAACCTAAGGTCCATTTTAGTTTCTAGCTCAGATGTCAAGTCCTTGTCCAGTTCGCCACAGCAGCATCCATGAACTGGGCCCAAGTTTCAAACAGCAGAAGGGGGCAGAGGCCGCTCGTGCTGCGTAGTCACAAGCTGCGGTCCTGAGCTGCTTTATTTAGGAAGAGAAAGACCCAGCAGGGTGGGACAGGTCGGAGTCCCAACATCCTTGCAGCTTAGGCAAACGCAACTTATTTCATATAAACCTACTAAATGAAAATATGGGAAAATATCCACATAGATTTTCTGTTCTGGACAGAAAAAGGATTTTATGTTTTCATTGTCAAACTTAAAGGATGCAGTCTGCAATTACAATGTTTTCCCTTGTCCTTAACAGCATTAGATTTCACTAGCAAGAAGGCATCTGTACCACTACTCGCTTCCATTTCTCTTTGTGACGAGAAAACAGTTGTGATGGTCAAAGTAATTGAATTCATCCAGAGACACTTGGAAGTTTCCTGTGCAGCTTTTCCTTGCAGCTGTCTAAATGGAGCTAATTGAAAAATCAAAAAGGCAAGCAGAATTAAACATCTTAGTGGTCTGTGTTTTTCCATCTCCTTTGCAGACAGTGAACGTCACTATGTTATTTAAATCACATTCTTTTTGTAAGGATGTTTGGCATAGATTACCCTACTACTTCTGAGATAGTAAGACAAAATATTAGAGATTAACGCCTCTTTCAGCAAACAGATTTTTAAAACATGGAAAACATCCTCAGTCAGACTGAATAAATGTAATTCATCCTTGTGAACAGATCACCGGGCTATTCATAACACAGTTGCATTCTCTAAGAGCCTGCTATCAAGCACTTCTTTCCAGCTGGCAAAGACAAGAGTAACTGTAAACTGATGGAAGGCTCTTTCTCTCTGTCTCTCTAGCTCTCTCTGACACACATGCTAAATTCTTCCTCTCTTGTCTATTTAAAATGAATCAGATTAATAATTGGTTTCTTGTTTTCATTTAGTTTTCAGAATAAGCAATAGCAGTTGTTGAAGTGTAAATAACAACTGAAAACTTGGCTGACCCTCTTCAGCTTCTAATCAAAGTGCTTCACTAAATATTGTGCAGAGGAAAGGCATTCTCTTGTTATTAATTTTGCTGCAAAGGAAATATTACCACTGAAGTTGTTTGCAGCATGTCTGTCTCTGTGCTCCCAGGTGCAATTTTATGCCATTATCTATGTCTCTGTCTCAATTCCTAAGAAATGAAGTTGAGATTGAAAAAAAGTAAAGACAGGGGATCTCTGCAAAAGATTTAGAGTGAGATATACCTGAATATATTCGGTTAAACCTTATTTCCTATTGAATGCTTCTGTAACATTTCTCCAGAGGACAGGTCTTGGATAAAAAAGACACCAGGGCATGCCATA